ACACGAGACACGAGACATGCATACACGAGACACGAGACATGCATACACGAGACAGGAGACATGCATACACGAGACAGGAGACACGCATACACGAGACAGGAGACATGCATACACGAGACAGGAGACATGCATACACGAGACACGAGACATGTATACACGAGACACGAGACATGCATACACGAGACACGAGACATGCATACACGAGACAGCAGACATGTATACATGAGACACGAGACATGCATACACGAGACACGAGACATGCATACACGAGACAGGAGACATGCATACACGAGACATGCATACACGAGACACGAGACATGCATACACGAGACAGAAGACATGCATACACGAGACACGAGACATGCATACACGAGACACGAGACATGCATACACGAGACACGAGACATGCATGCACGAGACAGAAGACATGCATGCACGAGACACGAGACATGCATACACGAGACAGCAGACATGCATACACGAGACACGTGACATGTATACACGAGAAACGAGACATGTATACACGAGACGCGAGACATGCATACACGAGACACGAGACATGCATACACGAGACATGTATACACGAGACACGAGACATGTATACACGAGACACAAGACGTGCATACACGAGACACGAGACATGCATTCACGAGAAAGGTGACATGCATACACGAGACACGAGACATGCATACACGAGACACGAGACATGCATACACGAGACAGCAGACATGCATACACGAGACACGAGACATGCATACACGAGACACGAGACATGCATACACGAGACACGAGACATGCATACACGAGACACGAGACATGCATACACGAGACAGGAGACATGTATACACGAGACACGAGACATGCATACACGAGACACGAGACATGTATACACGAGACACGAGACATGCATACACGAGACACGAGACATGCATACACGAGACATGTATACACGAGACACGAGACATGTATACACGAGACATGTATACACGAGACACGAGACATGCATACACGAGACACGAGACATGCATACACGAGACAGGAGACATGCATACACGAGACACAAGACGTGCATACACGAGACACGAGACATGCATTCACGAGAAAGGTGACATGCATACACGAGACACGAGACATGCATACACGAGACATGAGACATGCATACACGAGACACGAGACATGCATACACGAGACACGATACATGTATACACGAGACATGCATACACGAGACACGAGATATGCATACACGAGACAGGAGACATGCATACACGAGACATGCATACACGAGACAGGAGACATGCATACACGAGACACGAGACATGCATACACGTAACAGGAGACATGCATACACGAGACACGAGACATGCATACACGAAACAGGAGACATGCATACACGAGACACGAGTCATGCATACACGAGACATGAGACATGTATACACGAGACATCTATACACGAGACACGAGACATGTATACACGAGACACGAGACATGCATACACGAGACATGTATACACAAGACATGTATACACGAGACACGAGACATGCATACACGATACATGCATACACGAGATACGAGACATGCATACACGAGACAGAAGACATGCATACACGAGACATGCATACACGAGACATGTAAACACGAGACACGAGACATGTAAACACGAGACATGTAAACACGAGACAGAAGACATGCATACACGAGACACGAGACATGCATACACGAGACATGTATACACGAGACATGTATACACGAGACACGAGACATGCATACACGAGACATGTATACACGAGACACGAGACATGCATACACGAGACATGTATACACGAGACACGAGACATGCATACACGAGACATGTATACACGAGACACGAGACATGCATACACGAGACAGAAGACATGCATAAACCAGACACGGGACATGCATACACGAGACACGAGACATGCATACACGAGACATGTATACACGAGACACGAGACATGTATACACGAGACAGAAGACATGCATACACGAGACACGAGACATGCATACACGAGACACGAGACATGCATACACGAGACACGAGACATGCATACACGAGACACGAGACATGTATACACGAAACACGAGACATGTATACACGAGACAGGAGACATGCATACACGAGACACGAGACATGCATACACGAGACACGAGACATGCATACACGAGACAGAAGACATGCATACACGAGACACGAGACATGCATACACGAGACACGAGACATGCATACACGAGACACGAGACATGCATACACGAGACACGAGACATGCATACACGAGACAGAAGACATGCATACACGAGACACGAGACATGCATACACGAGACAGGAGACACGCATACACGAGACACGAGACATGCATACACGAGACACGAGACATGTATACACCAGACACGAGACATGCATACATGAGACACGAGACATGCATACACGAGACATGTATACACGAGACACGAGACATGTATACACGAGACATAAAACATGCATACACGAGACACGAGACATGCATACACGAGACACGAGACATGCATACACGAGAAAGGAGACATGCATACACGAGACACGAGACATGCATACACGAGACATGAGACATGCATACACGAGACACGAGACATGCATAGACGAGACACGAGACATGTATACGCGAGACATGCATACACGAGACATGCACACACGAGACATGTATACACGAGACACGAGACATGTATACACGAAACACGAGACATGCATACACGAGACATGTAAACACGAGACATGTATACACGAGACACGAGACATGTATACACGAGACGCGAGACATGTATACACGAGACACGAGTCATGCATACACGAGACACGAGACATGTATACACGAGACACGAGACATGCATAAACGAGACACGAGACATGCATACATTAGGACATGTTTGATAGAACATGTATGTGACTCTCTGGTATTACGTGAAAGTGAGTAATTACAATACATGTGAAAAATAAATGTGTTTAGAAGGTGGTAAAGTTACTGTCGCACTGGCCAAATCAGCCGTATAAGGCCGTTTGGTCACGACAAGAACTAAAAAAAAAAACACTAAGCGCAGCCCTACGAAACGGACCAAGACAGGTGTGTAGAGAGACAAGACAGATGTGTAGAGAGACAAGACAGGTGTGTAGAGAGACAAGACCGGTGTGTAGAGAGACAAGACAGATGTGTAGAGAGACAAGACCGGTGTGTAGAGAGACAAGACAGGTGTGTAAAGAGATATGACAGGTGTGTAGAGAGACAAGACAGGTGTGTAGAGAGACAAGACAGGTGTGTAAAGAGATATGACAGGTGTGTAAAGAGATATGACAGGTGTGTAGAGAGACAAGACAGGTGTGTAAAGAGATATGACAGGTGTGTAGAGAGACAAGACAGGTGTGTAGAGAGACAAGACAGGTGTGTAGAGAGACAAGACAGGTGTGTAGAGAGACAAGACAGGTGTGTAGAGAGACAAGACCGGTGTGTAGAGAGACAAGACCGGTGTGTAGAGAGACAAGACCGGTGTGTAGAGAGACAAGACCGGTGTGTAGAGAGACAAGACAGGTGTGTAAAGAGATATGACAGGTGTGTAGAGAGACAAGACAGGTGTGTAGAGAGACAAGACAGGTGTGTAGAGAGACAAGACAGGTGTGTAGAGAGACAAGACCGGTGTGTAGAGAGACAAGACAGGTGTGTAGAGAGACAAGACAAGTGTGTAGAGAGACAAGACAGGTGTGTGGAGAGACAAGACAAGTGTGTGGAGAGACAAGACAAGTGTGTAAAGAGATATGACAGGTGTGTAGAGAGACAAGACAGGTGTATAGGGAGACAAGACAGGTGTGTGGAGAGACAAGACAGGTGTGTATAGAGACAAGATAGGTGGGTGGAGAGACAAGACAGGTGGGTGGAGAGACAAGAGAAGTGTGTAGAGAGACAAAACATGTGTGTAGAGAGACAAGACAGGTGTGTAGAGAGACAATTCAGGTGTGTAGAGAGACAAGACAGGTGTGTGGAGAGACAAGACAAGTGTGTGGAGAGACAAGACAAGTGTGTAGAGAGACAAGACAGGTGTGTAGAGAGACAAGACAGGTGTGTAGAGAGACAAGACATGTGTGTAGAGGACAAGACAAGTGTGTGGAGAGACAAGACAAGTGTGTAGAGAGACAAGAGAAGTGTGTGGAGAGACAAAAGAAGTGTGTAGAGAGACAAGACAGGTGTGTAGAGAGACAAGACAGGTGTGTGGAGAGACAAGACAGGTGTGTGGAGAGACAAGACAGGTGTGTGGAGAGACAAGACAGGTGTGTGGAGAGACAAGACAGGTGTGTAGAGAGACAAGAGAAGTGTGTGGAGAGACAAAAGAAGTGTGTAGAGAGACAAGACAGGTGTGTAGAGAGACAAGACAGGTGTGTGGAGAGACAAGATAGGTGTGTGGAGAGACAAGACAGGTGTGTGGAGAGACAAGACAGGTGTGTGGAGAGACAAGACAGGTGTGTAGAGAGACAAGAGAAGTGTGTGGAGAGACAAGAGATGTGTGTGGAGAGACAAGACAGGTGTGTAGAGAGACAAGACAGGTGTGTAGAGAGACAAGACAGGTGTGTAGAGAGACAAGACAGGTGTGTAGAGAGACAAGACAAGTGTGTAGAGAGACAAGACAGGTGTGTAGAAAGACAAGACAAGTGTGTAGAGAGACAAGACAGGTGTGTAGAGAGACAAGACAAGTGTGTGGAGAGACAAGACAGGTGTGTAGAGAGACAAGACAAGTGTGTGGAGAGACAAGACAGGTGTGTAGAGAGACAAGACAGGTGTGTAGAGAGACAAGACAGGTGTGTGGAGAGACAAGACAGGTGTGTGGAGAGACAAGACAGGTGTGTGGAGAGACAAGACAGGTGTGTGGAGAGACAAGACAGGTGTGTGGAGAGACAAGACAGGTGTGTGGAGAGACAAGACAGGTGTGTGGAGAGACAAGACAGGTGTGTGGAGAGACAAGACAGGTGTGTAGAGAGACAAGAGAAGTGTGTGGAGAGACAAGAGAAGTGTGTAGAGAGGCAAGAAGGTGTGTAGAGAGACAAGACAAGTGTGTGGAGAGACAAGACAGGTGTGTAGAGAGACAAGACAGGTGTGTGGAGAGACAAGACAAGTGTGTGGAGAGACAAGACAGGTGTGTAGAGAGACAAGACAAGTGTGTGGAGAGACAAGACAGGTGTGTAGAGAGACAAGACAAGTGTGTGGAGAGACAAGACAGGTGTGTAGAGAGACAAGACAGGTGTGTGGAGAGACAAGAGAAGTGTGTGGAGAGACAAGACAAGTGTGTAGAGAGACAAGACAGGTGTGTAGAGAGACAAGACAAGTGTGTGGAGAGACAAGAGAAGTGTGTGGAGAAATAAGAGAATATGGAGAGCAAAAAAAAAAATAGATTGGTATAAATAACGGCTGTGGAGGTCAGCTGTTTTGACACGTGTCTATGGTCTATGTATGTCTAGAACGTTCGACTCGTGAGGCTGGCGGTGTCCCTGGGAGGCACAGACAGCATCCTGGAACACCCCTACAGCATGACACATGGACCCTACCTCCTGAAACCGGAAGAGATCGCCGAGTCCGGAATATTACCCGGTATGCTTCGAATCAGGTTCGCCATCTTTGCGCTGTTTTGATTGTTTCAGCATGCCAGTTTTTTAAAAATCATCATCATCATCAGGTGCCTTGCCGACTGGCGTGGGCGATCATGCCTCTCCATAATCCGCGATCTCCTGCAGCATGTATCAGTTCGTGTGCCGACACACCTCCATGCCATGCAACAAGACTGTCAAGCATCTTCTCTCGTTGTCTTCCTCTATCCCTCCTTCCACAGATCTTTCCAGTGGTCACAACATGTTCTATTTTCCCTCTTCTCATAACATGGCCGAAAAATGATGACTGTCTCCTTCTGATAAGTTGTCTTCGGTCTCCCGCCTCTTTTAAAACCTCTTGGTTGCTCTTTTTGGCTGTCCAAGGTATTCTAAGCATTCTTCTGTAAAACCACATCTCTGAGGCCTCCAAAAATTGTTTGGCCTGCCTACCGATTGTCCAGGATTCACATCCATATGTTAAAACTGGATGTATGTAGCAAGCAAGAATTCTTTTTCTAACTCTCAATGACAAGGATATATTGCACAAGATGTTTTTCATTTTATAAAATGCAGTTTTTGCCTGTCCAATTCTGTTTCTTATTTCAGTTATGCATCTTCCATCTGATGTTATCCATGTGCCCAGATACTTAAATTTCTGTACTTGTCTTAAAATAACACCATTGACTTTTATTACACATTTAGGAATAATTTGTTTCTTTGATACCACCATTACTTCTGTCTTCCCATTATTCAAACTGAGGCCCATTCTTCCACTTTCTAACACCACAATTTGGCGTAGACAAAGAACCAAAAGATGGTGTGGACGTTGGATATAATGTAGGCAACTAACTTGATTCAGTAGGTTCAGTTATTTGACTGCTACTTTGGTTCTCGCCTGTGTATAACAGATACCTGATCTTAGTTTCCATTGTTTATTATTGTCACAGTTGAATATGTCTGCTACTGTACATTTGTTCTTTTGTTACTGTGTCAGTAGCAGAAGAAGTATCTTTACATCCAAGGCTATTCAAATAATTTGAGTCAGGGGTCCAAAGAAGGGACGTCACTGACCAAAGGCCTGAAGTCAGTTAATTCAATACACCTGGAAATGATCCACTGGCCACTTGCAAGGGTCTATGAGGGCAACATTAAGTACGCATGCCACCAGCTGAATATCTGTACTTGACCTCTTCTGTTGGGTAACAATGAAAGTGCAGTATTGTAGACCTGCAGGTTACTGTGTAACCGTTGGGGCCTCAGAACAATTTCTACGCGGTTTAAAGTGCTTCAGGGATTTGTAGATGTAGGATTCCGTCTATTTAGGTGGTAATCCTGTACACTGTAATCCTGTAAAGCGTGTATGTCAAGCATGCGGTCTTATGAACGCACACCTGTTGCCCGCGCAGCTGTAGCCCACGCTCCTGTGCACGCACAAATGTGGCCCGCACAAAGGACATGTTATCAATAATTGTTATCAAATGACTCCAGTTAGCTGTCACGTGAGACCCTTATGAAGTGACCAGTATGAACCCTAAGGGGACACTTTGACGTCCCTGCAGAAGGGGACACTTTGACACGCCTGCAGAAGGGGACACTTTGACGTCCCTGCAGAAGGGGACACTTTGACATGCCTACAGAAGGGAACACTTTGACGTGCCTGCAGAAGGGGACACTTTGACATGCCTGCAGAAGGGAACACTTTGACGTGCCTGCAGACCCTGTGCCTGTTGACCCCCCCACATTTACGTATCTCTGTTGACCCCCCCCCCTATTTAGATATCTCTGTTGACCCCCTCCCCCCACATTTACGTATCTCTGTTGACCCCCCTCCCCCACATTTACGTATCTCTGTTGACCCCCCCCCCCCCACATTTACGTATCTCTGCTGACCCCATATATACTTATCTCGGTTGACCCCCCTCCACATTTACGTATCTATGCTGACCCCACATTTACGTATCTATGCTGACCCCACATTTACGTATCTATGCTGACCCCACATTTACGTATCTATGCTGACCCCACATTTACGTATCTATGCTGACCCCACATTTACGTATCTATGCTGACCCCACATTTACATATCTATGCTGACCCCACATTTACGTATCTATGCTGACCTCACATTTACGTATCTATGCTGACCCCACATTTACGTATCTATGCTGACCCCACATTTACGTATCTATGCTGACCCCACATTTACGTATCTATGCTGACCCCACATTTACGTATCTATGCTGACCCCACATTTACGTATCTATGCTGACCCCACATTTACGTATCTATGCTGACCCCACATTTACGTATCTATGCTGACCCCACATTTACGCATCTATGCTGACCCCACATTTACGTATCTATGCTGACCCCACATTTACGTATCTATGTTGACCCCCACATTTACATATCTATGCTGACCCCACATTTACGTATCTCTGTTGACCCCATATTTACTCATCTCTGTTGTCTCCAGTATCGGCCTCGAGGAACCCGAAGACATCATCAAGGACTTGGACCAAGCTTTGGCCAAAGTTCAACTCTAGGCTCATAGCCGGATCTCTCCAGCCAACCAAGACGTGGATGTGCTAACTGTGCGCTCATGAAAGTCAGGATCAAAGAATTATATACACGAGTACACAGTAGACAACATAAAAATACAGCTGACACATTAAACAATCGGCTTTATTGTAGCTCACATTACTAGAGCTTATCTTACATACTTCCGATGTGTTTGTCTTGTTGTTTTTGTTGATGGTTAACACAAAATATTACAATTAAATAAAGATGAGGTACGCACTGAGATTTTGGATTTAACCACAGTGGGCATATCTGAGTTAACTATCAACCTTGCTCCATCCAACTAGTCCAAAAAATCGGTACTTTCCCAATATCCGACCACAAACAGGGAAAATCCACAGGTCACGGGACAGTTCAATATTTCAGGGGGTGGTAGATGAAGCCTATAGTGTAGTTATTTGGCATTTCTTTTGGTGTGCAGGTTTGGGCTGTACATTTTACACTGTTCTATGCAGTTTGTGTGTGTGTGTTTTGGGGGTTCCCTGGGGAAGAGGACGCTTTTTTTGCAGTTTGTGTGAAACTCTGTGTGCAATGAGCAGGATAAAATGCAAATTGAGGTACTTTAGGGATGTCTGTTTGCCTGTGTATGCCTGTGTGTATATGTTCTAATGTGTTAGTGCGTGAGTGTGCGTGTGTTTGCGTATGTATGTAGTCAATGTGTAGCCATAACAAGGTCAGGACACACACTGATGCTGTCGGATAGTTAAAGTCACGACTAAGACAGATACCACTGACACAGTTTCCGTGACCCCGACAGAGCATGTCTACTAACTGGGTCTAGTCACAAGAGTCTAGTCACGAGAGTCTAGTCACACGAGTCTAGTCACAAGAGTCTAGTCACGAGAGTCTAGTCACTGAGTCTAGTCACAAGAGTCTAGTCACTGAGTCTAGTCACAAGAGTCTAGTCACTGAGTCTAGTCACTGAGTCTAGTCACTGGGTCTAGACACTGAGTCTAGTCACGAGAGTCTAGTCACTGAGTCAAGTCACTGAATCTAGTCACACGAGTCTAGTCACTGAGTCTAGTCACGAGAGCCTAGTCACTGAGTCTAGTCACGAGAGTCTAGTTACTGTGTCTAGTCACACGAGTCTAGTCACTGAGTCTAGTCACAAGAGTCTAGTCACGAGAATCTAGTCACTGAGTCTAGTCACTGAGTCTAGTCACTGAGCCTAGTCACGAGAGTCTAGTCATTGAGTTTAGTCACGAGAGTCTAGTCACTGAGTCTAGTCACGAGAATCTAGTCACTGAGTCTAGTCACGAGAGTCTAGTCACTGAGTCTAGTCACTGAATCTAGTCACACGAGTCTAGTCACTGAGTCTAGTCACGAGAGTCTAGTCACTGAGTCTAGTCACTGAATCTAGTCACACGAGTCTAGTCACTGAGTCTAGTCACGAGAGTCTAGTCACAAGTCTAGTCACGAGAGTCTAGTTACTGAGTCTAGTCACTGAATCTAGTCACACGAGTCTAGTCACTGAGTCTAGCCACGAGAGCCTAGTCACTGAGTCTAGTCACGATAGTCTAGTTACTGAGTCTAGTCACACGAGTCTAGTCACTGAGTCTAGTCACAAGAGTCTAGTCACGAGAATCTAGTCACTGATTCTAGTCACTGAGTCTAGTCATTGAGTCTAGTCACGAGAGTCTAGTCACTGAGTCTAGTCACGAGAATCTAGTCACTGAGTCTAGTCACGAGAGTCTAGTCACAAGTCTAGTCACGAGAATCTAGTCACTGAGTCTAGTCACTGAGTCTAGTTACACGAGTCTAGTCACTGAGTCTAGTCACGAGAGTCTAGTCACTGAGTCTAGTCACGAGAGTCTAGTCACTGCGTCTAGTCACGAGAGTCTAGTTACTGAGTCTAGTCACACGAGTCTAGTCACTGAGTCTAGTCACAAGAGTCTAGTCACGAGAATCTAGTCACTGATTCTAGTCACTGAGTCTAGTCATTGAGTCTAGTCACGAGAGTCTAGTCACTGAGTCTAGTCACGAGAATCTAGTCACTGAGTCTAGTCACGAGAGTCTAGTCACAAGTCTAGTCACGAGAATCTAGTCACTGAGTCTAGTCACTGAGTCTAGTTACACGAGTCTAGTCACTGAGTCTAGTCACGAGAGTCTAGTCACTGAGTCTAGTCACGAGAGTCTAGTCACTGCGTCTAGTCACACGAGTCTAGTCACTGAGTGTAGTCACACGAGTCTAGTCACTAGAGTCTAGTCACGAGAGTCTAGACACGAGAGGCTTGTCACTGAGTCTAGTCACTGAGTCTAGTCACTGATTTTAGTCACGAGAGTCTAGTCACTGAGTCTAGTCACGAGAGTCTAGTCACTGAGTCTAGTCACGAGAATCTAGCCACTGAGTCTAGTCACGAGATTCTGGTCACGAGAGTCTAGTCACGAGAATCTAGTCACTGAGTCTAGTCACGAAAGTCTAGTCACTGAGTCTAGTCACAAGAGTCTAGTCACTGAGTCTAGTCACGAGAATCTAGTCACGACAATCTAGTCACTGAGTCTAGTCACGAGAGTCTAGTCACGAGAGTCTAGTCACAAGAGTCTAGTCACCAGAGTCTAGTCACGGAAGTCTAGTCACTGAGTCTAGTCACGAGAATCTAGTCACTGAGTCTAGTCACGAGAGTCTAGTCACTGAGTCTAGTCACGAGAGTCTAGTCACGACAATCTAGTCACTGAGTCTAGTCACGAAAGTCTAGTCACGAGAGTCTAGTCACAAGAGTCTAGTCACGAGAATCTAGTCACTGAGTCTAGTCACTGAGTCTAGTCACAAGAGTCTAGTCACGAGAATCTAGTCACTGATTCTAGTCACTGAGTCTAGTCACTGAGTCTAGTCACTGAGTCTAGTCACGAGAGTCTAGTCACGAGAATCTAGTCACTGAGTCTAGTCACGAGAATCTAGTCACTGAGTCTAGTGACGAGAATCTAGTCACTGAGTCTAGTCACTGAGTCTAGTCACTGAGTCTAGTCACTGAGTCTAGTCACAATAGTCTAGTCACGAGAATCTAGTCACTGAGTCTAGTCACTGAGTCTAGTCACTGAGTCTAGTCACTGAGTCTAGTCACGAGAGTCTAGTCACTGAGTCTAGTCACGAGAGTCTAGTCACGAGAATCTAGTCACTGAGTCTAGTCACGAGAATCTAGTCACTGAGTCTAGTGACGAGAATCTAGTCACTGAGTCTAGTCACACGAGTCTAGTCACTGAGTCTAGTCACGAGAGTCTAGTCACTGTGTCTAGTCACGATAGTCTAGTCACTGAGTCTAGTCAAACGAGTCTAGTCACTGAGTCTAGTCACAAGAGTCTAGTCACAAGAATCTAGTCACTGAGTCTAGTCACTGAGTCTAGTCACTGAGTCTAGTCACTGAGTCTAGTCACGAGAGTCTAGTCACTGAGTCTAGTCACGAGAGTCATGTCACTGAGTCTAGTCACGAGAATCTAGTCACTGAGTCTAGTCACGAGAGTCTAGTCACTGAGTGTAGTCACGAGAGTCTAGTCACGACAATCTAGTCACTGAGTCTAGTCACGAGAGCCTAGTCACAAGAGTCTAGTCACGAGAATCTAGTCACTGAGTCTAGTCACTGAGTCTAGTCACAAGAGTCTAGTCACGAGAATCTAGTCACTGAGTCTAGTCACTGAGTCTAGTCACTGAGTCTAGTCACTGAGTCTAGTGACGAGAGTCTAGTCACGAGAATCTAGTCACTGAGTCTAGTCACGAGAATCTAGTCACTGAGTCTAGTGACGAGAATCTAATCACTGAGTCTAGTCACGAGAGTCTAGACACGAGAGTCTTGTCACTGAGTCTAGTCACTAAGTCTAGTCACTGAGTCTAGTCGCGAGAGTCTAGTCACGAGAGTCTAGACACGAGAGTCTTGTCACTGAGACTAGTCACTAAGTCTAGTCACTGAGTCTAGTCACGAGAGTCTAGTCACGAGAGTCTAGACACGAGAGTCTTGTCACTGAGTCTAGTCACTAAGTCTAGTCACTGAGTCTAGTCACGACAGTCTAGTCACGAGAGTCTAGACACGAGAGTCTTTTCACTGAGTCTAGTCACGAGAATCTAGTGTCTGAGTCTAGTCACTGAGTCTAGTCTGTGAGTCTAGTCTTTTCTCTCCCCCCCCCCAACCCCACCCCGCAACCCCCCCCCCCCGCACCCACTTCTTTTCATGGTATTCAAAGAATATTTCGACAGCGGTTCAGCTCAAATGCCTACATTGTCTTGCTGAAAGACTGCGAGACAGTCGACAACTCACATCCGTCAGTATGTTGCAACAGGGGTTTGATACTGAACAAAACACTTGTGACGGTGTTTTATTATCTTTATATTGCTATGGATATCTTCTTTGTAACGTTTGTTCAACAGTTTGTTGTGGAGCCTAGGTAGTCAAGGGTCAAAGTGGGCATATGTTGGCACACAGAGTGGGTGTGTGCTGACACAGAGTGGGTGTGTGCTGGCACAGAGTGGGTGTGGGTGTGTGCTGACACAGAATGGGTGTGTGCTGGCACAGAGTGGGTGTGTGCTGGCACAGAGTGGGTGTGTGCTGGCACAGAGTGGGTGTGTGCTGGCACAGAGTGGGTGTGTGCTGGCACAGAGTGGGTGTGTGCTGGCACAGAGTGGGTGTGTGCTGGTAGAGAGTGGGTGTGTGTTGGCACAGAGTGGGTGAGTGCTGAAAAAGAGTGGATATGGGTGTGTGCTGGCACAGAGTGGGTGTGTGCTGGCACAGAGTGGGTGTGTGGTGACACATAGTGGGTGTGTGCTGGCACAGAGTGTGTGTGCTGGCACAGAGTGGGTGTGCTGGCACAGAGTGGGTGTGGGTGTGTGCTGGCATGGAGTGGATGTGGGTATCTGCTAGCACAGAGTGGGTGTGGGTGTGTGCTGGCACGGAGTGGGTGTGGGTGTGTGCTGGCACAGAGTGGGTGTGGGTGTGTGCTGGCACAGAGTGGGTGTGGGTGTGTGCTGGCACAGAGTGGG